TTAATAGCAAAAGTATTCCATGTTTAAACTACATTGATATTATATTGATTAACCACTTCCCAATTCTTAAAATTTTATTTCCAAATCGGTCCACTTTAATTCAGTGGGCACCTTTTTGCATAAGAATATTCTTTTTTTTTTAATTCTAATATTTTTCCCCCTGATTCACAGGTGACTATAAGAAAGATGAACTCTTGGAAACCTTGCCTCTCTCTGCTTCATAGGCATCTGACCAAATAGAATTTAAACAGTGACTTTTCTTAATGGTGACTTCATGTCCCTTTCAAGAAGCATCAATATCCTCTTAATCTCAGAGTTACTTCTGCCCACCTCTCCCCATGTTCAGGTTTGATGTTTGCTGGAGATCTCCCAAGAAGCACTGTGCTCCTTCCTTGTTAACTCTGACCTTCTGTATATCCTGAGACTCGAAGAGCCCCAATGTTCAGTGAGTACCATTCTCCATTAGCCCCATCCAGACACAGAAGAGTGTGTGGTTTCAGTCTGAATAGAGAATCTCATGTTGACTGAGTTCTCCCACGCAGCACAGAGGTTGCAGATGATGCACGGCCCAAGCGGTGACCCATCCTAATGGCTTCATCACTGTCTGTAGCAGATGCTTCTTAGCTGAGGGTCTCTAACTCTAGCCCAGGTCTCCAGCTCCCACTGAAGCAGACATCAGGAAACCAGCCTGTCTCGGCAACTAAAGGTTTGCAGATTAAGAAGGAAACTTGTCCCGAGGGAATCTTCTGATCCAGGGAATGTGGCAACCATGTGCTCCTCTGCCAAGTCACACAGTGCAGAGCTGGACACGAATGACTTGAGATGTGCAGATTAAAGGGCCAGAATCCCAGTCTCTGTTATTTTCAAGGATTTGGCATGTTCTGTGAAGACAAGCAGGATAGAGACATTAGAGTCCTAAAATGTGCTTAGCTCCTATCGAGGCAGACATTAGTGGCAGCATGTCTATTTTGCAGAGTGTATGACTCCTAAAGGACAGCATTTGTATTTGAAATTCAAAGTTGCAATGAAATTTAGGCTATAGGAGTCTCTACAAACTGGAGGAAGCTACTTGTTCCATTTTCTTTTGAGACAGTGATAGAGATGGAGTAATTTGATGAATTATTTGGTGGCAAATCAAGGAATTGCTTTACATTAGTAATCTCATTTATCAAGCAATGCTTATTATGGGAAACACTTCTAAAATGCATTCTTCCCATTTATAACCACACAGCACATTGCTGATACCTTTAGTCACTCTCCTGGGCAGTAATGGACCAGAGTTTCTTGCTTCTATCTAAATGTAACAGGACTCCTTGATTAGTTTTGCTTTTTCCCCATGGCACTTCCTTCTCTGGGGATCTTTTTCCAGAATATTTACCACAAGCCTGGGTTACTGCAGAAGTGTCCTAATACACATATTTTATGTATTCTAAGAAAAGGAATCACTTATATGTATGTTACAGAATAATTATGTCCTGTTGCTTTGTTTACTGAAGTACCTTTCATTTAAATTAAGTCACGGGTCAGTAAAAATCCTGTAGTTGGAACATGCAGCTCTTTTCTGGGTTAAACATTTAGACACTTTCCTCTGATGCTCCCGAAGCTCTTGCTGGTCCAGTTGAGGCATGTTCTCCCCAGGAGGAGCAGATATGCTTTCTCCTCACAGGTTTCTCAACTCCTTATGTGTCCAGGGACTTCAGAAAATGTTCCTGTTCCTCCACACAGACTGTCAGGCAGGTCTGGGCTGGGGAGGAGTTTCAGGCACAGGAAGCTGTAAGAACTCATCAGTGTCTGGACTGACAGGGTTTGTGGGTGGAGCTGACTGGTTTCAAGAGCAGGGACAGATCCAGAGCCATCCTGACACCACAGCCCAGGCTTTGGTTACACACGTCCATCTCTCACAGTCAGACACGCATCATGAAGAGGCTGCTGGGCTCCCTCCTGGGGCTTCTGTGCACCCAGGTTTCCTCTGAGTCGGGCTGCCCCACATTCAGGGCATCTTTGAAGACTGTGCAGCTGCAGCACATGGAGGGGAGGGAGGAAAACCAGCTCCACGTCTTGCAAAACATCGGTTCTTCTCACTGTATATAGGGGGCATTTTCAGGGCTCTTTGGGCGCTTCAGTGACCATCATCTGTGACTCTCTCTGTTCCTAAACAGGGGTGAAAGTGCAACAACAAGTAGTACAGAGTCCTGGAGCCTTGACTCTCCAGGAGGGAGATGATAGCAGCATGCGGTGCAACTTCTCCACCTCTTCATCCACTGTGCAGCGGTTTCACCAGAATCCTGAGGGCCGCCTCATCACCCTGTTTTCCAGTCCCTCGGGAACAAAGCAGAGTGGAAGACTAAAGTCCACGACAGACGCTAAGGAACGCCACAGCTCCCTGCACATCTCCTCCTCCCAGACCACAGACTCCGGCACTTTTGTGTGGTGGACACACAGTGCTCCCCAGGCACCTGCAGTCTGAACACAAACTTCAGCTGTGTGGGTGTGGCTCTCCCCCAGTCATGAGATGACGGGGAGCCACCAGAGAAGTTTATGGCTCTTTCCTGTATTGGTAGAGTTTTACCCTCAGATAATTTCTTTGGTCTCAGAGGCTCAGGTCTTTGGTCTTTTCTTCATCTCTCAGTGTGCACTCCCTCCTGAAACAGAAATGTCCAACTTGGCACTAGCCGAGAAGCTGATTGGAAGACTGAATCAACATCACCATTTAAGCCACTGTGTGCTGAGCTCCAAAAGGAGGAGCACATGAAGTCACTCGGATAAAAGTGCTCAGAGTGATGCAGCTTGGTTGGTGTCTCAAGCACATGTTGATCCTCACCACTGTGGGTCTCCACAGGCAAGAGCCAACATGTTTTCCATCATGTTAGAACAACACTGAAAACAGTTACTGAATATTTATGTATTATTAAACATTTTCATAAGTCTTAAAGTATATTTTCCACACATCTAAGCCCCGTTCATGTTTTGAAGTTTCTCAGGACTAGGACCTGATCTATCCTGACATATGTTCCCTGCATGACTGAGAAGAATATGTCCTTGGTTGATTGGATGTCTGGGAGTTCTCCTTGCTTTGTAGAGCTGTTAGAGTCAGTTTCCTTTCTGTTAACCCTTTATTATTGAAGATAATGAATGAAGTCTCCAATCATTATTGTAAAACTACGTGTTTCTACCTGCAGTTCTTTCAGTTTTTGCTTTATATGTTTCTCACTCTTATTAAGCACATACAGGTATTTATGAGTATTACATTTTCCTTGTCGATAACCTTCCATTTCCTTTACTATGGATTAAGGCTGGGACTTCATGCAATGCTAAGAAAGGACTGTGCTGTTGAGCTATATCATTACCCCTAAGACAGATTCTATCTGATAATTATAAATAGGTCCTCTTTTCTCTAGTAACTTTTAGTTCACCGTATTTTTTTCTTTTTTTATAACTCATTTTTAATTTATTGACTTTTTTGTATGTATTTCATACAGAACATCCAAAACAATCTTATTCATCTATATACCCACATCCCTAGTGACACCCTCCCATTTGCCGTCCCGCACCCCCGCTGGAGCCCATATACTCTGTCATCCCCGTTACTGTCCACTGTGCTGTCAGTGCTCCAGCCATTCCCCAGTGCTTGTCCATCCACTGAATCTAGTCAGCCTACCTAGAGTTCCTTGTTTTAGGAAGATCAGCTCTTCGTCATCTAGCAGCAAGCTGTGAAAAGGGGCTTGTGAGATGGCTCAGTGTGTAAAAATCCTCACTGCTCAAATCTGCTGACATGAGTTCATTCCCTGGATCTCACAAGGGACTCCACAAAGGTGTCTTCTGACACCAAATACACCATGTTACTCTTGTGTGAACACACACACACAGATTATAGTTTTGGAAATTTAAGATAGAAAATATGCAATTTTTTTCTTTTCCTCTTCTTTTTATTACAAAAAGTAAAAAAGGTCTGGAAAAATCTTTAGTGTGACCCTTATGACATTTCATTAGATTTATTATTCAGAAATATTTATGAAGGTGTAAATCATTAGAAGTAACAGCATCCTACATACAGACAACAATGCCCACATCCCTTTGACATCCCTACGGTTCTCGACATTTCACTCAAGGCACCTGCGGCTGCTTTGTACAAGTTTGTGGACAAACCTCTGTTTGATTTGTGCTCTAGACCCTTGAAGTCATGGAGAAGCAATTGAAGGACTCATTCACATCCCATACCCTTAAATATTCAAGAACAGCTATGATAATGAGCTTCAGCTTTACACAAATATGCATGTATATACACAAGATGTTTTCATATATAAACATATATATATGTACATGTATAACATTTCTCCCCTTTAAGTTGTATTTACTCACCCATTCCCCACATGGTGTCATTCACAGGGTAAGTCTCCTTTTCTTGGAGACAGATACTTAGGTGAATATTTATCATTTTTAGTTGTGACACTCAGGAAAATGTTTCCCATCACTCCCATGGACCTTTATCAGGTTCAGGAATACTCTGTTCTCCTTAGTCTCTATTTTGATGTCCTCCTCTGCTGACAGTATGAATGTCATGCTGATTCTCTTTGTATCTGACCTTCAGGGATGTCTGCCCAAAATAACAAATGTACAGAGCTGTTTTTAGGAAAGTTCTTAGAAGTTCCTCATTCCTGTGGGAAAATATTGCCCCATGCAAACCCATCATTTCAGCTCTGCAGTTTGTGTCTAGGAAGACGTGGCCCAGTCAGTTTGATTGCTGGGACAGTATGGTGCGCGTGCACTGGGCGCCCTGGCGAGTGGTGTGCGCGGGCACACGTGGAGAGTTGCGGCGTGGGGATCGGTCCCCTGGTCTCAGCTGCACGCCCTAGAAGAAGGCGGGTCTGGCCCCGCGGGCTTCTCCGTGTCTCTGTGGGTCTCTGCTGCTGGAGCGTTGTCCAGCCGTGTACCGCCTTAATTTCCCCCGTGCGCTTTCCTCTTGATGCGAGATCCACTGGCCACTGAATCACATGGGAGAGCGCAAGGCGGCTGAAGCTGGGATCCATGAGCTGGTGACGGAGGAATGCTGCCCCCCGGGGAGACTAGATTGCAGGCAGGAGACACAGACTCAGTCCAGTCAGGTTCAGTGCTAC